CAAAAGTACAAAAGCAATTCAATGAATGAGAGATAGAATTTTCAACCAATGTTGCTAGAACAATTAGATATTCATTGGCAAAAAGAAATTTGACTTAAATTCATTTCTTATACAAAAAGTAATAATAATAATTGAAAATGGATCATGGATTTAACTGCACAACGTAAATCTATAAAACTTTTGGAAAAAAATAGGAACTCTTTGTAGAAATTGGGCAAAAAGTTATACTTTACACGAAAAGCATAATCCATAAAGAAAAGTAGATGTTAGACTTCATCAAAATAACAGTGTTTGCCCTTCAAAAGACACAGTTAAAAAGATAAAAACCTATAAAATAGGAGGAAATATTTGCAAACCGCTTAAAAAAGAGACTGGTATCTAGCCCAGCCAGCATGGCTCAGTGATTGAGTGGCGACCTATGTACCAGGGGGTCACAGTTCAATTCGAGGTCAGGGCACATGCCCAGGTTGTGGGCTCAATCCCAAGTATGGTGTGTGCAGGAGGCAGTCAGTCAATGATTATCATCATTGATGTTTTTATCTCTCTCCCTCTCCCTTCCTCTCTGAAATCAATAAAAATGTATTTTTTTAAAAAAAGAGACTGGTATCTAAATTAAAGAAGTCTCAAAATGTAACAGTATAAATATTTCATTCAGAAAATAAGCAAAATGTGGGAGGAACACATTTTACCAAACAGAACATACAGATGGCACATAACCACACAAAAACATGTTCCGCATCATGAACCATTAGGGAAATGCAAATTAAAACCGCAGTGAGAGAGCTGCATGCTATCAGAATGGCTAAAATAAAAAAATAGGGGCAGCACTGAATGCTAAGGAGGGCGCAAGGAAATTGGGTCACTCAGATATAGCTTGTGGGAATGTAAAGTATACAACAGGTTTACAGTTTCTTTAAAAATACATATGTAACTATAACTACCATATGACCCAGAAATTGCTCTCCTGGGCATTTATCCCAGAGAAATGAAAACTTATAATCACACAAAAACCTGGACACGGATGTTTATAACAGCTTAATCTGTCAATAGCCACAAACTGGGAGCAATCTGCATGTCCTCCAATGGAGGAATTATTAAGCAGTCTGTGGTACATCCAGTCCATTCAGCAAGAATGACTGATACACAGAACAACCTGGATCAATCTTCAGAGGGTGGTGCTGGGTGAAAACAGCCAGTCCCAGAGGTTACACACGGTAGGATTGTGCTTATATAACGTTCTTGAGATAAAGTTAATATAATTCAGACACCGGGTTAATGACTGCCAGGAGTTAAGGAGGAGCTGGCCAAGGAGGAAAGTGGGTATGTCTATCAAAGGGGAACAAGGGGGAATTGTTCTGGACCTCGACAATGTCAATGGCTACTAGTATATCCTGATTATGTTGTACTATTGTTTTGCAAGATACTACATCTGGAGGAAACTGGGGGCAGGGTACATGAGACCTCTCTGTATTATTTCTTCCAACTGTAGATGAGTCTACAGTCATCTCAAAACGTTTTCTGGTTTCTTGTTTCGTTTTTTATTGATTTCAAAGAGGAAGGGAGAGGGAGAAAAAGATAGAAACATCAATGATGAGAGAATCATTGATCAGCTACTTTCTGCCCGCCCCACACTGGGGATTGAGCCTACAACCCAGGCATGTGTCCTGGCCGGAAATCAAACAGTGAACTCCTGGTTCATAGGTCGACGCTCAACCACTGAGCCATGCCAGCCGGGCTCAAAATTAATGTTTTAACTAAAAAAATAGTTGAGAATTTTGTGGTAAAAAATGGGATTCTAAAGAACGCTGAGGTACTTTAAGCAACTGCAACTTGTAATATATAAAACCTCCCTTTCTCAAGGAAAACTCCCTTTTCTTGGATGTACAGTGATCTTTTTACTGACCATAGAAAAAACTTAGAGTATGTATACTGAGCTCATTCTAAGAGGATAAACAGATTTGATTTGTGAAAATTTAGAGGACATTTCCTTCCACTAGATCAGGGGTCCTCAAACTTTTTAAACGGGGGGCCAGTTCACTGTCCCTCAGACCGTTGGAGGGCCGGACTATAGTTTAAAAAAAAAAAACTATGAACAAATTCCTATGCACAGTGCACATATCTTATTTTGAAGTAAAAAAACAAACCGGGAACAAATACAATATTTGTATTTGCATGTGGCCCATGGGCCATAGTTTGAGGACCCCTGCACTAGATGTATAAGTAAGGAGCTGAGGCCCAGAGTGCCCATTAATATACCAGGAAGCCTAGGGTCAGGGCAAGTTTCCAAATAAACCTAGCCTCTAGGCATTTAGAAATGCAGAATTGGAGGCATGCTGAAAAATCATGACCAGGGATATAGTGATAAAAGTCTTAAGGGAGGATGAACTCACCAAAGGAGAAAAAATAGACTTATACTATTACAAGTTCCTAGGATATGTGCTGGGCAAAAACTCACGCACTTTATTTCTTTTCTAGAGTAAATCCAGCTACTTATGTAAACTTGGGCAGCGCATCTTGGGCACCATCCAGTCATCTCCCTTTTATAGGCCAAAGGAACCTTCTGGCAAGCTCTTCAGGATGGCTCCAATCTGTGTCCCAGAAGTCGTGTGAAAGCCTGTCACTTCTCAGAGGGCACAAGAAAAGGAAAGCATGTTCTGCACTCGGTGCCATAAAGACTAAAGACGTGAAACCTGTCAGCAGCAGATGGGAGATTCCTTCCTCAGGTTTTGAGAAGGACGTGAATATTACCAAAAGCCGGAGACCTCAAGCTGAAGAATTCAACCTGCAAACCTCCATGCGGATAGCCCCCAATCCAACTCAAACTAACGATGAGCAGCCAAATAAGAATGAGGGACAACCCATCTTCCATTTGAAGTTCCAAAGGCAGAAATAATCTACTTTATGATACTCTGAAGACTGTGGGTGAAAGTTAACATATGCTTACCTATTAAAAAGAAAAGAGAAAGAGAAGCCCTCTCCATCCCTCTTAACACCATTTCTCTCCCTACACATGCATATGCATATACTAAACTACAAACCCTACATACTCCATCTTCTGTAGTGAGAACATCTTTCAGAAATATAAAAGGGAATCTGGAGCCCTGGTCAGTGTGGTGCAGTGGCTAGAGCAGTGATGGCGAACCTTTTGAGCTCGGCGTGTCAGCATTCTGAAAAACCCTAACTTAACTCTGGTGCTGTGTCACATATAGAAGTTTTTTGATATTTGCAACCATAGTAAAACAAAGACTTATATTTTTTATATTTTATATATTTAAATGCCATTTAACAAAGAAAATCAACCAAAAAAATGAGTTCACGTGTCGCCTCTGACACGCGTGTCATAGGTTCGCCATCACTTGGCTAGAGCATCGTCCCATGCACTGAAGGGTCATGAGTTTGATTCCTAGTCAAGGGCACATACCTGAGTTGCAGGTATGGGGTGTGTGGGGCAGCAACCAATCGATGTGTCTCACATCAATGTTTCTCTCGCTCCCTCCCATTCTTCCTCCCTCCCTCTCTCTCTCTCTCTCTCTCTCTCTCTCTCTGTCTCTCTCTCTCCCCTTCTCTCCTTCCCTTACTCCCTCCTTTCCATTCCCTAAAAATATGGAAAAAAATATTCTCAGGTGAGGATTAACAAACAAGAGAAAACAGCAGATTTTTTAATTTTCTTAGGTATTATACTAGTATTTAATTTTTGTCAAGATGGAAAAAAAAATCTCTGAATTTCTGATTTCTTCCAAAATGATTTATTTATACACCACCAAAAACACTAAGCACTCAGGAAGGAATGGCCTGTACTATCACTGACTTTAATGTCCCTACTAGGCCCTTGAATGAATCAGTCAACAAAAAGAACATTTCCTGAATTTTTGTTATATCTGTAGTGTGCTAGAAACAATTGATGATTTTTTAATAATACATTTCTCCCTCCCAGTTGGTGTGGCTCAGTGTCGTGGACCTATGAATCAAGTGGTCATAGTTCAATTCCTGGTCAGGGCACATGTCCAGGTTGTGGGCTCGATCCCTAGTAGGGGACATGAAGAAGGCAGCCAATCCATGATTCTCTCTCATCATTGATGTTTCTGTCTCACCCTCTCCACTCCTCTCTGAAATCAATAAAAATATATATTTTTTAAAAAGATTTCTCTCCACTGCAAGATTACTGTATAATTGTACATATAAAACATACATGACTAAAATAATGCAGAATGAGATAGTGCATAGTAAAGTGCTAAGATCTGAATTTTAGAAATACTATATTAAAAGATGCTAATTAAAAGGAAATAAAAGGTATACAACCTGGAAAAGGACAAAGTAAAACTGTATTTATTCACAGAGAAGAAGATTGTAAATGTAGAAAATCCCTGCTGGAAGTAATAAGCAATTACGGCAAGGTTGCAAGATACAAAGTTAATATACAAAAGTCAATCATTATCTTAGATACCAAGCAATGAATGTTGAAATTAAAAACAATGCCATTTACCTTAGCACCAAAAAAAGAAATAGATGTTAATTTAATTTACTCAAGATCTATATGAGAAAACACCATAAAACTCTAATGGAAGAAAAAAACCTCAAGAAATGAAAAGTTATCCCATATACATGCATAGGAAGGCTCAATATTGTCAAGAGGCCAGGACTTCCCAATTACATCTATAGATGCAGTGAAATCACA